GCCCCAGCAGAGGCACTTGGTTGATGTTGCGGAAGCCACCCTCCCATCCCTGTGTCCCTGGAGCGCTCCTTGCTGTGTGCTTTGTGGCTCCGGAGGCTTGGCACCGCGTGCTCCCTCACTCCGGTCTGCATCCGGCAGTGTCTGTTGTTCTTGCTGCCTGTTCAGCCCCATAATTAGTGGTCAAAGCCGGCAGGGCATGGGTCCCGTGGGCTGAGCGTGGGCCACAGGGATCTGGCTGTCCCTGGCCAGGCCTACCCGGAGGGCGTTTCAGTGGGGTACAGCTGCCCAGCCCTCCCCTTTACCCCCAGGAGTGTGTTTCTGCAGCCTCCAGGGAGGCAGTCTGATCTTGAACACTCCCCAGGGAGGCAGCTGTGTGCCCTGCAGCCTGGTGCTGGCAGCTCACGCCACGGCAGCGCCCCCTGCAGGAGCAGACCGTGGGTGACCATCCTTGGCGCAGGTCCCCCAGGGACAGTGGGGCCATGAGCCAGCAGGCACCGAGGGAGGTTGCAACCTCCCTTGATCTGCCCATGGCCACATTAGGAATCTTCCTTGTTCCAGAGACTCCTGCTGTCCCCTACCGGTGCACTGGGTTGCCATGAAGTTGGGCGCTCCTTTCAGCCTGGGACCTGGGGACCTGGGGATTGCCCCGGGTCCGAGGAGTGGGCATGATCCCTCTTTCTGGTCAAGTGCTTCCGTTGCTCTGACACCTCGACTCTTGGCTGACCAGGACAGGTAATCCTCTGAGCATGGTCCCTGTGTACTGCTCAGATGGGACCATGGATATAGCAATGTTGTTTCTGGTTTGTGTGCTGTCAGGAGTTCCAGGAGAGGCGCAGCCTGGCAGTGATGGAATGTGGACAGAGAAGCCAGGGAAAGGTGACTGCAGCTTTGGAAGTGTGTCCAGGTTACTCATTGCGTGTCTTTTAGGATAACTTACATTGTTGGGGAAGCTGGGACATAGGTCTTCAGCTTAACGGATGGACTTCAGGGTAATGACCATTTGTTCCTCTTGGGGTAATGTTTGGTTGCGTTATGGTTGGATTACGTTTGGATGGATGATGATTGGTTGGATTGCCATATGAACTTGTGTTTTGCTATTTCTAGTGCGCTCTGTTATCACCAAGCTTGGTTAATAAAGACTCCTTAATTAAAAAAAAAAAAAAAAAAAGGGTGCGTGATCCTTCAAGCCCTCCAAGAGGGCAGGACCTCTCCAGCTCTGCCAGCCCAGCCCAGAGGGCACCTTGGAGGAGGCGCACAGCCAGTGCCCAGGGCCTTGCTTAGGACACTTTGCTGAGGGTGATTGGGCCCCTGTGGTTCCTGGACCTGCTGGGCCTGGCGAACAGACAGCAGCTGCCTGGGCACACAGGTGGGCGCTGTGGTTGGAGTCTGGAGCCCAGGGTATGGGGTGCTGAGCAGAGAGCAAGGAGGCTGCCTGGGAGTGGAGACTGGCACACACACTGGCCCATCCTGCACAGGCCTGCAGTTGCTGCTTCACCTCCAGGAGCCTCATTCTTTGCCCGTAGCTGGGGGGTTCATGTCCCTGCTTTGCCCTGAGCAGTGGCCGCGGCTGGTTTGTGATCAGGTCCGCGTGGGAGCTTGGTCGTTCCGCCTGCAAGGTGACTGGTGGCTCTTGTGGGATGACAGCTCTTGCCTGTGGTTGGAGGTCTGGAGTGGGGTCCCCAATCCTGCCCCCTTCTGAGGGGGGAGGTTCACGATGGGTCAGGGGGTTGAGGGTCCCGCTGGAGGGCATTGGCTGGCCTGTGACAGGGGTGCAGGTACAGGCTGTGGTGGCTCTGTATGGCACAGCTGTGTCCCAGAGAAAGTACCTGTGGACACGCAGCATGTCCTGCCCAGGTGAGGCCTGCGCGGGTGGCGGGCGGCACGGGAGAGAAGGCAGAGCTCTGGGAAGCTGGGGTAGGGTTGGAGAGAGTCGCCATTCTTGGAGCCATTTTCTGCCTTCCAGGGGAGCCCTGTTACCCAAGGCCCTGCTGGGCTGGGCCCTGAACCTGGGCCACTGTGACCCCCACCCCCCGACGGAGTACAAGTGAAGGGAGGTGACTCCGGGGAATGCACCTGTCTGTGGCAAGCCCTGGAGCCACTAGCTGGGTTCCCACAGAGGATGTCATTGTGTACCTGTGTCCCTGGGTGTCCGTGCATGCCAGTGTCATTCTGTGTCATTGTGTTGGTGTGTCACTGTGTCCCGGCCCCGGACGCAGCGTCTGTGAAGAGACGATGAATCCCAGCCTGGGTGCCCTGCCCAGCTCCCTGCTCCCACGGTCCCCTGCCAGGCCTGCAGCCCCTCCTGGGAGCCTTCCCTGCCTGACCTCCCTGTCGTGTCTGGCTTCCTGGGGTTGTCTCCCAAGCAGTCCACTTGAATCTTTGTCTTGTGGCTTCTGCCAAGGCCCCGGCCAGCGCTTGGGGTGGTCAGTGGCAGGGGCAGCACAGGGACCTGCCTGAGGGCCTGGTTGCCAAGCCGATGTTGTGTGAAGGCTTAGCGTGCCAGCACGGTCCTGGGTCCCTGTGCCCCCAGGGAGGGCAGCCAAGGGTGACGTCGGCCTCCCTCGTGGCTGCAGCTCTCATCACAGTAAACCCGAGGATTAATCTAATTACACGCTCGCCTGAGTGCTAGGGTTCCCGGGTGCCCAGTGCGGGCCTGAGATTCGAGGCTGCTGGGGAGTGGGGGGGGGGGGTTCCGAGTTCTTCCCGTGGCATGAGTGCTCCCGGCGCCCCCCCCCCCCCCCCGTATCACTTGTGAGAGGCGCCACCTACACGAGGCAGTAGCGGGGACAGGGTGGTGCTCTCAGCTCTGGGGGAGCAGGCTGTGTGGACACAGTGGGTGTCCTTTGGTGTCTGAGTCAACCATTTGGGATAGACCCCTCCTGCTGTGGCTGGGTGGTCTTGACTGGGTGGCTTCTGCAGTTGTTCTGAAACAGAACCACCCAGTGAGTGGGTTTGTTCCCTGCTGCACAGCAGGGGGCCCCAACAAAGGAGTGAGCGGGGGCAGCTCCTGGCTGTGGGCCCTGAGGTTAGGTGCTGGCTGCGGGTGGCTTGTGGGCTGACCTTCCTGGGCCGTCTCTGTCCTTTTGCTCTTGCTGTGGTCCATCTGGGAGGTGGTGGGGAACTTCAGGGGGCGGGCAGACATGCGGGGAGCCCTTGGCTCAGCCGTGGGAAGCGGCAGGTGAGGCGGCCCTGCCACAGGCCTGCCCGCCCCATGGTTCTGTGGCCGCCCAGGGTAGTGCCAGGTAGCACTGTCTCTGGCTGTTGGGCACAGTGCCAGGCTGAATCTTCCTCCTGTACAGGCTCTGCTGGGAGCTCTGACTGGAGGTGGGGCTGCAGCAGAGCGTGGGGAAGCAGCTGGCAGCCACAGATGCCCCCTTGTCTTTGTGTTCCAGCCCTTCCCAGAGTGGCCAGACACTAGGCCCTGATGACCTGCTGGGTGACCTGGCTGGTGAGGGAGGAAATGGGCCATTTTATTCCCATGACTTCCTGATCTGGGAAAGAGGGCCGTTGGCTGTGTAGGTGCTGTGGGGCTTCAGTGGGGCGCTAGCTGCAGGGGGAGCCAGCTGTTCAGGTGTTGTACCTGGGAGGGGCATGCCTGGGCCAGGAGGGTGCTGGGCTCCTGAGTGCGAAGGAGCGAGCTGGGGGCCTGTGGGCTTCACTGGCCCAGTGCTGGCTGCAGGCACTTCAACACTGCGCTGTAGGCCCGAAACAGGACAGGAAGTTGGGGCCAGTGGAGCTGTGCCCGATGCACAGGCTTGGGTGGGGTGGGCATGGGAGCTGCCTGAGTAAACTGAGGCTGGGGAAGGAGGACCTGGGCAGGGCTGGGCTGTGGGCAGCAGTGACCATGACCGCAGAAGGGTGTGAATGAGTCAGGTTGACAGCTGCATGCTGGGGCTGGCCGCGTCCCTGTCCTGGGCCTGAGAGGGGAGGCTGGTGCAGTCGCTTGCTGCGTCAGTGTGAGGGGGACAGGTCACTCCACTTCTGGGAAACTTGTTTGCTTGGCTGTCACCTGGCGTGTCCCGAGGTGGAGCTGCAGGGTAGGGAGAGGACCCAGAGCTGGCCCCTGCAAGGCTGCGCATTCCTGAGGGCTGAGTCCCAGAATTGCTGGGGGCTGGGCTGGGGCACCCCAATTCCTGCTCTGGGCTGGGCCAGACATTCCCTGGCGGAGTGGGTGGAGTCTCCGGAGGGCCTTTGGGTGTGCTCAGGGACACAGTGGCCAGGCTTTGGCAGGGAGCTCTATGTGGGGCCAGGGCTGGGCCCAGGCTGTTCTGTTGGTCCCTGCTGGGCGTCTGTGTACCCCACATCTGCCCCTCACGTGAGCTGGGGCTTAGCGGGGAAGCAGTGTGGTAGCCACACAGTGCAGGGGCACACCCAGGGGCTTGCCCCCACCGGCACTCACTCCTCTTCTGCCCAGGGCGTGTGCCTCAACCTACAGCACCCCTGGGGAATTTGACACACCAGGTTGGTTGAAGTATCTGGCATCCAGGGCCTTGTGTGACGCAGGGTCACTGCCTCCCCCTTCCGTCTATATGTGCTGCTGCGCAGTGTCTAGGACAGGGGTCTGGGCTGTGTGACCACTGGTGGGAGATGTCACAGCAGGCTCCTGGCAGGAGGGACGCCTCACCCAACTGGCTCATAGAAGGGCACTGGCCAGCACCTGCCCAACTCTTGCAGTTGGCCTGAGAGTTGCACCTCTGCCATCTGCAGGAGCATCCTGGGGTCCAAAACAGCTCACCTTGGAGCAGGTGTGGTGGAGCGGGGATAAATTCCAGCTGCTGACACTGGAGCCCCAGTCGTCCTCCCCCTAGGCCCTGGGCAGTGGCCAACTGCGTGGATCAGAGCTTCTGTGGGGGCCTGAAGCCCCTGGGGAGCCTAGGACGGCTGGGAGAGACTCACAGCCATTGTCACACAGCTCCAGGAATCAGACTCGGCAAGGTGGGTTGTCTCCCAGGGATGAATCTGTGATGGCTAACAGGCCCTCCCCTTCCTCTCTCCTACAGATCCATCGTCCACCTACATCCGGCAGCTGGAGTCCAAGGTGAAGTTGCTGGAGGGTGACAAGCTCCTGACACAGGTAGATGAGCTGTGGCGGTGGCTGCCCCAGGGCTCCCCACCACCCCAGTCTCCCTGGGGCCCCAGGGCTCCCCACCACCCCAGCCTCCCTGGGGCTACTGCCTGCATGGTGCCCGCTGCTGCTGCCTGCCCCACACAACAGCCTGATCCTGCCTGTAGCTCCTAGGGCCCGTGCTGGGCCTGGGCCAGAGATGGCAGAAACAGGGATTGGTAGAGGAACGGGTGGTGTTGCCCCTGTGTCCATGGGGGCTCTGGGAGAGAGGCAGGGGGCAGAGGGGTGAGCTGGAAGAATGGGCAATGCTGCCTGCTATATAGGGGACAAGTGCCTGCCTCAGAGCTGGAGGCCTCTCCTGCTGGGGAGGAGTGGGGAGGCTGTGGTCAGCCCCTGTTGGGGTGCTCTGCCCACCACTCCAGCCTGCGGCCCCCTGGAATCTAGCCCAGGCTTTATCTCAGTCTCCCCCCTCCTGCTGCTGACCCAGAATACCCGAAGTGTTTCTCTGGGAACCCAGGGATGGCTTAGTTGATGGACCCCATCGCTAGGCGACCACTGTGCTCGGCACCCCAGACAGCGAGCAGAACCCCACCCTCACCCTGCTCACAGCTCCTCCCTCCCCTTGTTACTCTGCCTTGTGGGCCTTGTGAACCAGAGCCTGGTGGGACCTAGCAGGCCATCCTGCCGATTCTGCACGCCCGCACGGCCATGCCCCATGCGCATGTGAGCACAGGCGAGCCAGTGCTACGGCTGCAAGGCTGGACCCCATCGTGCTACATGTTACATGTTTTTTTCAGGGGCTGTAGACAGAACAGCTCTGATGGAACTGGCTCCCCGAGGCTGGGGCTTGCAGTTCTACTTGGGCCTGGCCTTGGGGCACCCTGGTTGCTAAGGAGGCAGAGCCAGCAGCAGACTGGCTGGGATGGGTGGGGGTGCTCATTGGGCTAGTGTGTGTGGGGAAGGTGTTCTGGGGGCTGGAGGGCGTACCCTTGCCAGGAAGCAGATTGGTGTCCAGGGTATAAGGAGGAATGTCACCCCGGGGTGAGAGAGAGAGATCAGTAGCTGGGACTGGGACAGGCCAAAGCTAGGAAGGTCTCCCAGCTGGCTGGAAGGAGCTCAGGTACTTGGGCCATCTTCTGCTGCTTTTCCTGGCACAGAGCTGGGTCAGAACACAGACCAGTGCTCATATGGAATGCCAGCATTGCAGGCAGTAGCTTAGGCCACTGTGCCACAACACAGCCCCCAGGTTAGTTGCTCTTTGGAGAAGCAGGTGCAGGGCAGAGTGGGAGCTGGGACTCCATGGTGCTATTGGTGTTGTGTCCCTGAAGGGGCGTGTGTGTGACAGGGAGGGTGTGGGCATGTAGGCCTAGCCACAAGCCCACTAGGGGTTCTGCTTCCATGGGGGCAGGAGTATCCCTCAGTTCCTGCCCAGCAGAGCCACGGCAGGGGGGCCTCTGACTGAGGACATGTGAAAAACGTGGTCTTGCTGGCCGTGGACCAGCTCTCCGTCCTTGCTGGGGTACACCCAGCTTCCTGTGGAGGCCCCCAAGCATGACTGTCTGCCTGCCTCAGATTCACCTGTGCAGAGGCGGAGGTGGACGGAGCACGAGCCCTGAGCATTGGAGAGGGGCAGCCAAGTGGGCAGGGGGCTGTCCGTATTGTCATCCCCACCTGTGCCTTGCCCTGGCCTTCTGGGGGCAGACCTGGCCTGAGCCTAGGCTTGCTGGCTGCAGTGGCGAGCGTGTGGTTTAAGGTCAGGAACCCGCCTCGGTCCTGCTGGGATCTGGAGACCAACTAGTGCAGGAACGCCTGTCTCTGTAAACTTGGCCTTCTGCCTGGGCAGTCTGGTGAGGCCGAGACCCTTGGGGGTGGCCCCCTGAGCTCGTGTTTCTGTGTTGTGGGCACCCAGGTCCTTTGCCAAAGCATAGGGATCTCCTGGCAGATGGGTATCAGGGTGGCACCCAGCCAGCATCCTGAGAAAGGGGGCAGCTGTGGGCTTTGCCTGCCCTATCCCGGGCTGCAGCAGGAGGGGCCCGTCCTGAACCCCACAGCCAAAGCCCTAGGAGCCGCTGGCATTGGCACAGCTGTAGGAGTGACCAGACTCCCAAAAGGGCCTCCTGCTGGGCCTGCCGTGCACAGCTGCCTGCTTGAGCCTGGGGGGCGAGGCATGCCGCTGGCATGGAGGGCACAGCTGTTGGTGGTTGGGTGGGGGAAGGAGATGGAGAGATGGGTCCCCCGACCTGCTTGGTGCTTCCCAGGCTACCTTCAATGTTACCAGCTCCCGGGGCCCACTGGCACTGCTCCTGCTGCAGGGCTGAGCAGGCTGGGGCTGCCCTCGGAGCATGCCCTCTAGTCTATCCCCTAACCCCAGCCACCCTTCTCCTGTCCCAGCTCGAGGCTCAGCTGGTGAGATGGGGTGCGGGAGGACAGCTGAGTGCCCTGGACTTGTCTGGGGGTGTGGGAGGCTGGGGTTTATGGGGCTGCCTTCCTCCTGGGTTCCCTGCTCAGGCATCACTCCATGGTCCCCCCGGCCACCTGCAGGTACCTCCGTGCCTGCTCCCAGCTCTCCGGGCTCCTTTGTAGATGGGGCAACCCTCCCTTGGAGATACTGCCCTAGCCCTGCTGGCCTGTCAGCTGCTGGAGCGCGGGGCGGCAGGGTCTGAGTGGTCACTTCTGAATGTGCCACACTCAGTGCCAGCCTCCCCGACTGGGCTGGGCGGGAGGGGGTGCACAGTAGGGAGGCCAGGTGATGGCTGCCGCACGCACTGGGGAATGGAAGGGACGCTGACCGCTGCCTCACGGCCATGGCCTGACCCTCGGTTACGCTGCTGTTTGAATCTCAGCAACCGCAGTTGTAGCCACAGAAGGCAGAGGAGGGAAGGAGGAGTTTTTGGGGTGTGGGTGGCAGAGCCTGCCTGTCCCCAACCCCCCGCCCCCGCCATGGCCGCTATTTAACTCCAAAATAGCTTTAATTAAAAATGTGCCCAAGTGCTCACAGGCTAAATGACTGTATCGCAGTTGGTATTTTTTCTCTCGTGTCGGCTTTAAAATTTCATCAGCACAGCTGCTTCCTGTGCGGTGACTCATCGTGGCACTCGGTGCGTGTCATTACTTTTCCCTTGGATTCTCTGCTGTGCCCAGTGGCTGGTGGGGGCCAGGCCCGCTGGAATTGACACTGGGGCCTCCCCTGCTGGGTGCATAAATGAAGCCCCACCCATTGTAAGCCAAGAAGCCCTTGGGCTCCTCTCTGGGGTGGGCGGGGGGGGGGGCGCAGGCGGCTGGCGGGAGACCGTGGACCCAGGCACCCCTCCTTTCTGCACCCACCACGGGCCCCGGACCCTGGGTTAGAAGTGACCCAGGCACTGCGGCAGCTGTGGATAGCAGCGGTGGGTTTCCTGGCATGAGCGCTGTATGCTTTGCCAGGACTCCTGGGGCCATATAGAACCCAGACCTCTCCCTCAGTCTCCTAGAGGCCCTGAGTTCAAGGTCAGGGGGTCAGCAAGCCTCTTCGCCTTGGCGTGTTCCCATTGCAGGGGCCCAAGCTTCCCCACTCTCCCAGGCACATTAGCAGGGAGCTGGATTGGAAGTGGAGCAACCCAGACTCGAACCAGTGCCCAGCTGGGATGTGAGTGTCGCAGGCAGTGGTTTTGCCCTCACATCAGCCCCATCAGTGACCTTATTTTATTGTGGTTCTCTCTGCTAAGACCCCATCTCGGGTGGGGTGGGCATGGATTGCAGCGCTTCTGCCCCTGGGACTCAGGGCAGCCCAGGTCTGTGCCCGGCTGCTGACCCAGCCTCCTGCGCGGGCAGCGGGAGAGGGCCCAGGTACCTGCTGCAGCCCTGGGTGGAGTTCCCAGCTCCTGGCCTGGCCTTGGCTCATGCAGGCATGTCGGGGTGTCGGCTAGCTGTGCTTGCTCTCTGTCTAAGGTGTGTGTGGGGCTGGGGAGAGACCTCCCATCTGATGAGGTCTCTGAGATCCTAAGCTTAAGACAGTTGACCTCACAGGACGGAGGGACACTGGGCTGGGGGCATGGCTGCCCCAGTGTGTCGTGCTGTGAGACCATGCCTGAAGCAGCATGCCCTCTCAGCCTTTTAGGGTTTGTAAATGGCAGCTGACCCAGGCGTCTCCCCACCCCTCTTGGTGTCTCTGCCTCTTGTCTGAGGTTTGTGGTGTGGACTCAGCTGCCACCATCCGAGCCTGCATCTTGGTAATGTTTCCTCGGTCCCCAGGTGGTAGGGCTGTCCTCGTCCGAGGTCCTTGTGCCCGGGCATCGCGGGACACTGGCCTCCTGGTATTTGCAGCAGCTCTGTGGGCTGCTGTCTTGGGACCCAGTTCGAGCCCACCCCACCTCTCCCTTGCTAGGGGTCTTGTCCGTGTCCCTGTGTTGTGGGCAGTGTCACACCCAGTACTGGAGGGCCAGACTCCACCCAGCTCCTCCTTGGCAGTGACTAGCAGGTGGCCAGTCCAGTCCCATGGGCCAAGGCGAGGCTGCCTTTCCCGTAGGGGCTCAGCCTGCCTCGCCCAAGCCAGGCTGAGAAACCGCAGTCACTGGGCCTGTTGCCACCAGCATTGTCCCCATCTGTGACCTGGGTCTATTCATGGTGCCTGCCCCATGTGTGGCAGTTGCTGGCCTGTGGGGAGAGCTGTGGTGCTGAGGGGGAAAGTGGGGTGCCATGGGCTATTGCCTCTGGGCTCTGAACCATCCCTCAGCCTCTACTTAGCCCCAGAGCTGAAGCCGACACACCAAACCTTGGGCAGTGAGTCTTCAGATGTGCAGGTCCTCAGCCAAGGCAGGTTCCTTGCACAATGCCAGTCTACCCCCTTCCAAAGCTCCCTGCCCGCCGGCTGGCCTCTCCATTCCCCAGAGCAAGCACTGGGACCCAGGGCGAGTGACAATCTCTGTGTCTGTGGGACCTGACCAGGTTGTCAGCCACCACGCCCTAGGCCCTGTGGTCCTGCTGGTTCCTAGCTCTGAGCTGGGCGCAGTGCTGGGTATGTGCAGTGAGGCCAGCCCCCTGCGGAGCAGTGAGGCCAGCCACAGGGTCCCCCCAGGCGCCACCGTCTATGGTGCAGGCAGCCCCTGGTTCTACCGGCCTGCACTGGAGCCAAGAGAAAGTGAGAGAGGCAGATGCAGTTGGCGTGAGCAAGTGGCTCTTGTGGGGACCTTGCAGACCATCCGCGCCTCACTAACCCTTCTGAGCTGGCCGAGATCTTGGATTCAGGGCCAGTGTCCCCCTCGTGTGAGCTTTGGAGTGAGCGCTGAAGTGGGCTCCCTGGGGATGCAGTGTCCTTGTTGGCCTCCGGAGTGTTCTCCCGAGGCTCTGTCACCACGGGTGTGGCCTCCCAGTCCAGCCCGGCCGAGGTGCTGTGGCTTTGCACCCTGGAGGGCCGGGGTGGGCAGCAGTGGTGGGTGAGCCGGGTGTGTGCTGGATGACGCTGCTCTGTTTCCTTCCAGCTGCCCCCTCCCTACGGCCGCCCGAGGAGCTGGCTGCAGGTAGAGCTGTTGGTGTGGCCAGCGTGTGCCGTGGTGCTGTGGGCTGTTCTGAGTGCTGTGTGATGTGATTGCCGTGTCCCCATCGCTGTGCCTCACTGGGGGGGTGGGGACTGCCACCATTCCGTCCTTCCCAGGCTCCGCCTTCCTTGGAGCTGCTGCTTTGTTCCAGACATGGTGCCCAGGAGCCTAAAGCCGACTGGGAGGGGGCAGGCCGATGGCAGCGCCTGCTCTGCAGAATAGCCCTGTGGTCAGAGCAGGTTAAGGGCTTGGCTGGGGTGGTCCTAGTGCCAGGTCTCCATTGCCTCAGCTGTGGTCCTAGGAGCTGGCACCAGGGGCACTGTGTGGCCTCAAGGCCCTGGCTGTGGTCCTGCCAACCTTTGGGCCTGCAATGGCTTTCTCTGCATTGTCCTCCTGCCACCCCTGGGCTTCCCACCCCCGCCTGCCTGTCTGCCTTTCCCCACAGGGGCGGAAGGTTGGCTAGTTCAGGGTTCCTTGCTTCTCACTTCTGCTGTGGTCCCATGGAGCCAGGCACTTGTGTGGGCATTGCAGGACACTCAGCAGCCTCCCTGGCCGGCACTCATTCCTTGCCAAAGCTACCATCCCGGATGACAGCCAGGAATGGCTGCTGTTCCTTCAGACAGAGCCACCAGCTGCCCTGGCTTGGGACCATCCAGCTGTGGCAGACAGGACCCTAATGAGAGCGCCACAACGTGCTGAGCTCATAGCTGTCACTGGCCACCCTCCTGCCCTGTCCTCTGGGACCCACCTGCTGTGGAGCGTGAAGGGGTGGCTGGGTTCCATTTGTGTGTTAGATCCTGGCAGAAGCGTGCTGGGCTCTGCCGAGGGTAACAGATTCCAGGGCCCAGTGAGGGGTCTCAGCCTGCCCAGCAAGGCTGGGGGTGCTCATTAACTCCTTGTCACATATGCACATCCCATCTACTCTGGGGCCCTGAGTCCTGTGACTGCCGGCAGTGCTGTGGGAAGAGGAAAAAGGCAGTCTGTCTGGTACCTTGAGGCAGCGTGGCCCATGCTGGGCCATGGTCGGGAGAGGACCCAGCGGGCCTGGGTGGCTGTGAAGCCCTGGGCAGAGGCTTGGTGGGGTGGGCCCTGCAGTGGCCTCCCCCCGCCCCGCCCGCATAGGCAGGTGCTTCGCACCTCATGTCCCTTTCCGTGGGCCTGGGATCCACTCTGGGCTGCTCCTGTGTACCTCCCTGTGTTCCCCGTGCCCACCAGCCTCCTCTTAGCCGCCCAGGCCCCGGCGGTAGGCAGCAGGGTGCTTTAATTTGAATGTGAGTGCAGTAATGGTTACTCATTTGATGCATCATTACTCACATTGCCCCTTAATGAGTGTGCATTTCTCCCCGCCTGGCTCGCTAATAAAGTCCTGGACGCGCAAGTGTTTACAGATACACAGCTTGCCTGCTGCTAATTAAAAAATGTCCCCAGCCCATGGCCCATGGGCACAGGGCTCCTCCAAGGAGGTGACCTGGGGTGGAGGCCCCGCCACAGCCCAGGGCAGAGACGTAGACAGAGTGAGGCTCCAGCACACACCCGCCTCTGCCATGTGTGTGCCGGGAAGCGGCAGGGCCCAGCTGTCCTGGTCCCAGTGGCCTATAGGATGAGCTGTGTGTGCTGTGCGGCCGTGTGTGGGCCCGGCCAGTGGGGCCAGGCAGCCGAGTGCCCCTGGAAGAGCAGTGGGGGCTGCCCTGCTTTCATGTGGGTGCTGGAGCATGCCCACTTGGCGGTGTGCCTCGCCCACTCTTTGTTACCTAGTGGGAGGGGGCTTCTCCAGGCCAGACCCTTATGGTCCAAGACTGACACTCCTTTGTGGATGATGCTCACAAAACCCTCTGAAGCTTGGCAGGTCTTGAGGGCCACTGCAGGAGGGTGGGTCCCCACTTCTTGGTGCCCCTCTGACCTTGGGTCCCACCCAGGCCTTTCCTGAGGCTGAAGGGACAGCTCCTAGCCACGAGGTGCCTGGCTAACCTTCAGGCACCCTTTCAGTTGTGTGGGGTACACAGGCCCTGCTGTGACTTCCTGGCTTAGATAGGTCCCAGGTCCCTCCCTGGCAGGTGCAGCGGCTTCCCCTGCAGGGGCTCCTGACACCTGCCCTGTGCTGCCTCCAAGCCCCCGGGGGTAGGGTCTGGTGGGGGTGAGGCCCAGGCTCTGAGCCGCAAGATGTGTGCAGGGTCGGGTAGGATGGATGGGGCTCCCTCCCAGACTGACAGGCAAGAAGGACCCCCTAGTGTAGTGCAGCCTCCACTGGGGGCCCCGGTGGGCACTTTGGAGGTTTTCTTGGTGAGGAGCAGGTTGTGTCTTCTGCTGGGGCCAAGAGGGAGTTTGGGACTGGACACTGGGTGGGCTGCTGGAGCACCCTGAGGGGGCTTCCTCCTGCAGGGAGCTTCCCTGGGCACTGCTCACAGCCCAGGACGTGTGGGGCCAGAGCAGACGAGTCTGGGACTCAGGAAGGCAGTTGTGGGTAGCAGGGATGCCCCCTCCATCAGTCCCTTGCTGCTTCCTTCCCCCGGTGCACGCCTGGGCTGGGGAGCCAGCCCCCTCTCACTGACCATGTTCTCTCGGCCCAGGCCGGCCCCGGAGAGTTCCGGACGCTGCGAAAAGGCTTCTCTCCCTACCACTCGGAATCCCAGCTCGCCGCCCTGCCACCACCCTACCAGGACGCCCTGCCCAATGTAAGTGCCAGCCTCAGGTCCCGCTGCAGGAGGAGAGGCCTGGGCTTGAACTATCCTGTTAGTAGCTTCCTCTCTGCTTTGGGAGTCAAGGCCCTTGCCTGCGGTTGCCCGTGGAGAGGTGGGGTACATGTGGTCAGAAGCTCCTGGGCTAGTGAGCACAGGGTCTCCCTTTGGACAGGGTGGCATTGCCCACTGGGAGCTGGGATAGGGGGATGAGGAGAGGGTGGGATGGCGAGGGGAGGGGTTGTGTGTGTGTTTCGCCCCCTGCTGGCAGATGGGTGAGGGTGGTTGAGTGTGTGGGTATCTGGCGCCCCCTGCTGGCGCATGGGAGAGCACAACCTCCTGTGCACAAGGTCTGGCCTCTCCCAGCTTGGTTTCCCCACAAGGCCTAACTGGGCTGCAGTTAGGGAGCCAAGCGCCTTATGGGATGCTGGGTGTTTCCATAAGTCACAGCCCCAGTCTAGCTTCCCCAGTCTCAAAGGCTGTGCAGTCTTTAGGGCCTGGGCCCCCTAACTACATGGTCTTAGTGTCTCACCCTCCCAGAGCAGCCTGGCTCCTGTAGGTACAGGTGGGCCATGGGCCGTGGTCAGCCTGGCCTGGCCCCTTGTCTCTGCCGGGCAAGGGGCCATGTGATCCGCAGAAGGGGGAGTACACTGGTGGGACTGGTGGTTTTTGGGATGCCCAGCTCCTACCCCATGTCCTCTTGCTCAGGCCCTGGCCCCACACCCAGTCCAGGGGTGTAGCGGCCAGCTGAGAGTGTGACCCCTTCTCCAGGGCCCAGCCTGCCCCGTGCCTGAGCTGCCCTCGCCCGCCTCTGCAGGCTACAGCTCCGCAGCCCAGAAGCCCGAGGCTGTCGTGCACGCCATGAAGGTGAGTGCGCGGGGCACCGGGCACACTGCAGGCTGCTTGGGGCCTCTCTGTCCACCGTGAGGGGAAGGACTCTGAAGGGTCAGGCAGTGGGCAGTGACCCCACGTATGCCACCCGCATGCCATTCCGGAGCCTCTGCAGCTGGGCACACAGGGGCCGGCTGGGCTATAAGCGGGCAGAGTTGGGCTGGAATGAAGCTGGTGACTGGGCCACATGATCCCAGCCTGGTCCCTCGTGCAGTGGCTTTAGTGTCCCTGGGTGAGGGGCTGACATGTGGGCTGGGGCACTTCCCTCAGGTCCTGGAGGTGCACGAGAACCTGGACCGGCAGCTCCAGGACAGCTGCGAGGAGGACCTGAGCGAGAAGGAGAAGGCCATCGTCCGTGAGATGTGCAACGTGAGTCGCCACGTGGGGCTGGGCAGCCACGTGCTCAGGGGCCCCTCCTTCCAGAGGCCTGCGCAGCCACGAGCTCAGGGGCCCCTCCTGCCAGAGACCTGCACAGGGTCCCCACCCCCAGAGCCACCCAGGGATTCTGGATGGAAATCCACTGCCCGGCCTGGCCTTGTGCACTGCTGCTGGGCTGTTCTGCCTCCTGAGCTGCCGGAGCCCCATGGTGCTGCCACCTGTGCCTCTGAGCTGGGGCTGCCTTGGGGTCTGCCTAGAGGAGCCCCCACATGCCTGCCCAAGTGCCCCTCCTGTGGAAGCTGGCTGGCCATGCTCCTGGGTGTCCTGGTCTGGCATAGCCCTCTTGGCCTACTTCCTAGTTCTCCCCAGGGTAGCCGTGAGGGAGGCTGGGCCCACGTTGTGAGTGCCCTGCCCAGGGGCAGGCAAGCAAAGGGAACCTGGTCTGGGCATCTCTAGGCCCCTGTCCCACCCAAACTCGGCCTGAGGCCCTTGGTGATCCTGCAGAGGGAGGGGGCCGTGGCGTGCATGGGCTCGGGGTCAGCTTCCCACTCACACCCTGCCGCACTTGTCCACAGGTGGTCTGGAGGAAACTGGGTGACGCCGCCAGCTCCAAGCCCTCTATCCGGCAGCACCTGTCTGGCAACCAGTTCAAGGGACCCTTGTAGGGCCGCCCTTCCACAGCTGCGGACTGGCACACCCGGGGCCCAGCACTGTCTTCCTTCTTGGGGGCGGATTGTACATAGGACATGGCGTGCTCTGGCCTGGTGGCTGTGGGTGACTGACCAGGCCTGCACCTCCCACCTCACTCACCAGCAAACCACCGGACAAGAAGCCGCCCACCTGTCCCCAGCGGGGCCCCAGGCCCTGGCAGCGAGAGGCCGGAGGCTGCTGGGACCCAAGGCTGAGGGATGGGCCTAGACTCCTGTGTCTTACCGCACCTGCACCCTGCTGGCTGTGGGGCACCTGGGTCCTGGGCCCCTGGCCCTCGTCCTGGCTCAGTGAGCTGCATGGCTGTCTGCAGGCTGCTCTGGGATCCCAAGTCTTTTTTCTGACCCCCGCCGTGCCCGACTGCCAGCTGCTGCTCACCCTCTGCCCTCCCATCCACCCTGTGCCTGTGGCTCGTCCCTCGCTGTAGTTTACATGACGGGTCAGGAGCACAGCGGGAGGTCTCGTGCAGCCTGAGCCAGCCATGTGGAGCTCCTCTCTGGACAGCAGCACTGGGCCACAGCCGAGTCCTCTAGGTAGCTGTGGCCTCCCACCAGGGCCTGACCACACCCTGGGGTGCTGTGGACAGAACTGGGGGTGGGGTGGTCTCAGGTGGTGGGAGTTCTGACCTCTTTGTAAAGGAAGGAACTTGTCTTGCTTCTGGCTTTAACTTGCCGTACAACCTTCTGCCAGTCACTCAGCCTCTTTGGGCCCCTGCTGAGAAACTGAGGTCTCCACTGCTGGTGGGGGCTGGGTGGCGTGGGCCCAAGCTCAGTCCTGTTGCCTCGCTGTGGGTGTCATTCCCTGCTCTCTGAGCCACCAGTCTCCTGAGACCACTGTGAAGGGAGAGCAGTGGCTGTCCTGTGTATGGGAGGTGGTCGTATGGCACAGCAGAGTCCCTGAGCCCAGAGCCCTGGCATGGGCCACCTTCCTGACCCCTGGCAATGCTGTGTCAACACACACTTGCTCAACGAGCCTTCCTTGCTCCTTCCATGGTACAGAGCGCGTGCGACGCCCAGGAGGCTGTGTCCAACCAGCAGGTCCCATCTGGGCCCACGGACCCAGGGCACAGGGACGGTTCCCATGGCGTGTGCCTATGGCACCCTTGGGTCCTAACTCAGGGGAAAGGCAGAGGCCCAGGGAGTGCCAAGTGGGCGCTGCACTGGAGAACGAGCTGTGTGCGGCACCAGGGAGCTCGCTCTTGGCCGTTGGATGGACACCTGCTGGTCAGAGCCCAGGGCATTTGCTGCCCGGGTGAGCTTCCAGGCTGGGAGGGTCTTGGGAGACCAAAGAGCTGCACAGTCCCGCAGTGGGTGGAAGGGGAGCCCGTGGTGTGTGTGTGTGTGTCGGGCAGCTCGGCCACCACTGAGTAAGCAATAAGAAAGGGCCCCTGCGACGGGCCAGGGGGTAGTGGCCTGGAAGTGACCAGTGAAGCCCTGCCAGTCCCTGATGCTGCATGGGGTCTAGACTGGAGCAGCATGTCCTGTGAGCCCTCCCATCTTTCCTGGCACCCCGGCTGGCAGGCAGACACCTGTGGGGTGCACCCCATGTGGAGTCACAGAGCCAGCAGCTGGGCGGGGGACAGGTGGGGCCCCAGTCTCTCCCCGGCTGCGCAGCACGGGGCCCACCTACTCTGGTGCCTCGGCTCCCACTGTGAGGGATGCCGCTGGCCCCACCGCGCAGGGCCTCACCAGCCCCAAGTCAGCCTGCTGAGCCGTATTTAGGGCGCGTATTCCTGTCCCACGCACCAGTGTTTAAAGAGAAAAAAGTGACCTTTCATTTTTTTTTCTTGAGACTTGAGTGAGCAAATTGCATACTACTGATTTTCCTAAGAACAGACTGGTGGCTGCCCAGTGGGGCAGGTGGCTGTTTGCTGGGCCAGTGGCAGTGCTGGCTTTGGCCGTGCCCGAGACCCGGGCCACCCACCTGTCCGCCCCTTTGTACCTTCTGTTGAACCACTACGATTTGGGGAGAGAAACAAATAGAGCTTTTTGATAGTGCGGTAAACAATGATCTGAACTATTTTAGTAACGGAGTACTCGACCTGGTTGTGATAGTGTCTACTTTGATGAGCTAGAGAAATAAAGGCCTCTTGGCGAGCCTCGGGCTGCGTGCTTTCTGCTGGGGAGGGGCCCGAGTCCTGCCCGAGGGAACACGTACACAGCAGGCAGGAGCCCCACCGCTTCTCAACAAGCCGTGGGCCGAGCCGTGGGCGAGACTGCCCACTCCTACCCCAGGCACCAGGGCTGCTCCCACAAAGGCCTGTCAGCTGGGCCGGACTGGGAAGGCGGGAGCCCCACCTTCCACTGCCAACAAAGCGCTAGTTGCAGAACAGATTTTATTGGATAACAAAGAGTTTGTAACTGAGATGGAATTCACAGTTTGTTAACGAATCCGCGATCAGACGTAAACTCGTCACTCTCCAAGTACATGGTGCCCCTTTCTTGAGGGAAAAGAAGGCCACCAAGGCAGACCCCGACGCCTAGAAACAGGAGAATGTGCCGACTGCAGATGGAACTGGACTGAGAACTGAGTTTCCAGAAAATAGGCACTGAGTCCTGAAGCTATTTATTGAGCCAATATGGCTGGTGAACATTCTCACTCGCAGAGCGCAGCCGGGCAGGACAGGCGCTGCCCTGGCCATGCTCCAGCTGTGGTCCCATCCCACAAGGGGACCACCCCTACATCATCAGGGCCTGCCTAGCATCCCACAAGGGACCCTGCTGCTACCCACTAAACTAATCTTCAAGTTGATTAGAAAAAACTGAGGTTAAAAAAAAGAGAAAGAAAAAGGCGTCAGGTTATCTCAACCAAGCTGCTCGTCCTAGCCCCCCGACGGGTGGCATACCTGGAGGGGGAATGGGTGGGGGCACGGGTGGCTGCCCGCCAGGGGGCACAGCGGGTGGGGGGTAGCTAGCTGGTGGCAGGCCCAAGCCTGGAGGAGGGTGAGGTGGGACTGCGTGAGTTGGGGGCAGGCGTGGGGGTGGGGGCGGGAAGTTGGGGTTGTATGTGGGGGGAGGTGGCGGGTAGCTAGGAGTTGGGGGCGGAATGGCGGGTGGGGGGAAGGAGGCTGGGGGAGGAGGCACAGGAGGCGGGGGCGGGTTGGGGGGGTAGACATGTGGGTGGTAGGGCAGGTGGGCAGGGGGGCCGTAGGCAGGGGGCAGGGCGCCATAGGAGGGGCCCTCGGTCTTCATCATGGACTGCAGACTCTGGTAACCTTCCCCAGACATGTAAGAGCTGGTGGTGGACATCCCGGTCATGTAGCTGGAGGGGGGCGGGGGTGGTGGCCGGTGGGGCAGGGGTGGTGGCTGGTGCACAGAGGCCGGGTGGGCTGGAGGAGGAAGCTGGACTTTGGGGAGGTCGCTGGCATCCACGGGGCCTGCTGTCTCCGCGTCGCCTAAGGCAGTGGCAAGAGGTGGCTTCCGGTCTGTGGAAGAGAAACGGGTCAAGGCCTGGCTAGGGGCCGTGACCTGGCTGCCTTGATGAGCCCTGGGCAGGAGTGCCCAGTAACTCTCAGGCCGAGCAGCAACGGGAGGCTGGACTCCCAGGACAGTGTTCAGAGGGGTCGGGAAGACCGCACTGCTGTGGGCCAGGGTCCCATGGGCTGCTGTGGCCCATCTCCAGCAAGCCTGGGTCCCCCTTAGCCCCACTGCAGACAAGTCAACATTTCCAATGTACTCATTCATGCTGTTACCCAGAGAAGCGTTTAACTGTCCCTGCAGTGTCCTCAAAGGCCAGCATGCACACATGTGGCACACCCCCCACGTGGAGGTCACTGGTGCTCAGAACCAGGCCGCAGGGCCCTCCAGGTGACTGGCCACGGGCCTCACTCCACTGCAGTCTGTTACCACACACTATGGACTGTGATTTCCCAGGCAGTGTCAAAGGAGCCCACTCCAGGGAGCCAGACCCTCCGTGTCAGTGTGAAGTGAGAGGAAGGCTCAACACAGGCGTGCCACCTCTGCTGAGAGGGACACCAAGGATGACAAGACTGGCGTGGACACAGCAGCACCCCTGCTCTCCCCTGGCTGCTCCCAACAACGCCAGGGAAAGAGCTCTAAGCCTGCAACAGAGACGGTGCCCCCTTGCTCCAAGGCAGAGTATGCCCAACTCTAAGGACTTAAGACATCTGCCACCAGATCCTGGACCAGCTGTACTGCCACTTACAAGCTCACCAAGAAGCATGGTGTCTGCGGCCTTAGCTGCCCTTGCTCCCTGAGCTGCCACAAGGACCTTGAAAGCAGGGCCCGGCTGGCGCTGCGATCTGGCCCAGAGTGGAGAACAAGGCTTCTGCAGTCTTTAAGTCCCCGACTGCTGGGACTGGTTGACAAGCACGGAAAATCTCAGCCAGGGCACACGCCAGCCACAGGCGCTCCTCTCAGAGGCACAGCCTGCAGTTTCACAGCAGGCTCGGGCACCCCCTCCAGGAGGACCCATCTCTCCCACCTGCTCGAGGCTGGCCTTTCCCGAGACGGCACCAAGGTGGAGTTGGGTGGAAGCTGGCTCCTGCCTATCAGTCAGTGCCCCCATGGCCTACTGGGAATGCCTCGAGCTGGCCACCCAGGGTGACCCCGCTTGGACTGGGGGGAAACACTCCTCAGCTGAGTGTCCTCCCTGCTGGCCTGCTCCAAGCACACGTACCTGGAGGCGGGTGGGCCGGAGGCAATGGCGGGTGAGCAGTCTCCATTTTGGGGATTTTAGGTGGTGGTGGTTCTAAAAAAGAAAAGGTGAATTAAGACTCGACTCCTACTTCTTCGTGTGGATAAACACGTGCAGTCGGAGCTTCCCTGGGAACCGAGAGGAGTGCAGCACGGCTCTGTGGGAGCCTGGGAGGCCTCGAAGGCCACACTGGGGACTGCAGTGGAGCCCAGTTCCCTGGCTTTAGCTCTCTAACTCCTCACTGCACAGAGCACATGGGAAAGGCCCTGAGCTCTGGGGTGCCCCCGGAGAACCCTCCACCTTGCCATGCGCAGTGGGATGGGAAGCTTTCCAGCACGCAGCATGCCTAAGTTGCTCCTTGGCTGGGGTGGCAGAGGTCTGGGGGCACGCGTAGAGCACAGTCCCTGGGGCTGCTGGGGGGCAGGCCGTCACCAGGATCCACAAGGACAAGGCTCGGTGGCCCAGACTGTCCGTTCCGGAAGGTGGCAGGCATGCACACCTCATGGGAGAAGAGCCTGTGTGCCGTGGTCCTCCTGGAGCTCATCAGCCCTGGGCCGAGCGGCACCCGACAGGAGGCTCCTCTGTCACCTCGGGCCGAGCGGCACCCGACAGGAGGCTCCTCTGTCACCTCGGGCCGAGCGGCACCCGACAGGAGGCTCCTCTGTCACCTCGGGCCGAGTGGCACCCGACAGGAGGCTCCTCTGTCACCTCGGGCCGAGCGGCACTGCGACAGGAGGCTCCTCTGTCACCTCGGGCCGAGCGGCACCCGACAGGAGGCTCCTCTGTCACCTCGGGCCGAGCGGCACCCGACAGGAGGCTCCTCTGTCACCACGGACCACTTTGCTTTGGTGTCCTTTGTCTCAAAGACAAGCAGACTCAAGGTCCAG